CTGAGAAAAAATATAGCCTAAAGTGTTACTAAGGACAAAGGAAGTGTGTCAGAAAATATTACGGACCGAAATCTTGGGAACTTAGCAACAGGTAGCCATGCAGCCACTATTACAGAAGCGCTTAAGATATTCAAATTTAATGCAAATCAGCAGACAACGAGGCGAAGAATAGCCAGATTGAGGGCAAAGGCAGCATAAAAGAAAAAAAAACCATTTTGATCAAAATACATGTGCGAGTGGGGCAGCATTTTATTGGATCGCACGAAAACCAGACCGTTGCCGCTTGGGATATGGTGGGCAATAAACGCATTTTTAAGTTTCAATTATAAGTTGTTTGGCCTGACAAGACTAAATTAATCGCTTTCAATCAGATGACCGGGCATGGTATTGGATCAAGGACCCATATTAATCCCATGAGAATCATGTAAGGTAAACTGTGAATCACATTGGTCCGTCAATAATAATTTGGGGTTGTATTTCAAAGATGTTGTTGGTAAGTATGGAGATGATTCCACCTCATCTTCCTCTTGACAGCTGATAAAAAAGGATCAGTTGAAATGAATAGTCTCACCGCATGAATACCAATCGCACAATGGCCTATCAGAACTCCCATCACTAGCCCTTGAGAGATCATGTGTTTTAAAGTGCCCTATAAAAATATTTGCTGCCGCAGAGAAACGTCTTCTTTTCGTTTTTTATGTCACAAAATGGCCCGGTTTGCTTTAGCCCAATAGCAGTTCCTACTGCGAAAATTCCGCCTACAATATCCGCAGTCGGCGTGTTCAACATATGTATGTTAAGCGCCAGTGTAGGTGTTGTTCCTAATGCTCCACTAATTTCTATTTTACAAGTGCAGCCTTCTCGATTGAGTTCACCAGATAAGGGCTCAATGAAAAAATATTGGCTTAAATCTGGTTTCCTAGACCTAATGAATTAATTTGGGCGAGAGACTTCACCTTTTGCCGATAGTCCCCTACAGCAGTACAAGACAACCGAAACCTTTCGTACCCTTTCCTCAATGTTAGGCTTCCACGACAGCCGCCGTTGATCGCCGTTTTTAACAAAACCGAAGAGAGACCAATTGGCCTAAAATACCTAGGGCAAACACGTGCGCCTTTCCGACCTTCGGGATGGACGTAATACTGACTTCCCTCCAAGACTTGAGGATGTACCCGGTCCTCACACAGTTCGCATAAATAGGATCCAACCAATTGCACGACACCTTCAGAGGCCTTTGCAGCTGCGCAGGTATGATGCCATTGGTCCCCAGCGACTTTAATGGTTTGAACCATTATCGCCCAAGCCACGTGACGATCGCCCAGAAGATCGGAGAAGCGCAGGACCTGGAGGGAGATTCTGAAACCAGTTAGCGACAATTTTCGAATCGCGATCGCACTTTTTGACGCAAAAACATTTATATCATGCGTCAAAAAGTGCGATAGCGATCCGAAAATTGTCGCTTACTGGTTACAAAATCTCCCTCCTGATGTACAAAATATGGCAAAGAAGTACGAACTACAAGAGCGAAAAAGGAAGTACTGTACTTCCGAAAGAAGTACGGTTGGTCACATTAGCCAAAGCAGACCAGACACATGGGATTTCTTTATATGACGGCTGCAGCGCCATCCTTCTGCAAAACCATTGCTTATCATAAAATGAATACGCATTATGAATTTCAGCCAGGTTGTTTAAAAAATAAGGATTTTATAAATATCTCGACCATACAGCGGGTCCATTTTTAGCAAACGAATTCATCATACGGGTGGCTAACATCGCGAATTTGAACGAAATCGGTGAATAAATAAATATACTTATAAATGACTCGACTCCAGGGCCACCAAGCGAGTTTTCTAGTGGTTAGTCTATAGGTAATAGGACCATATGTGAAAGGTATGAACTTTGGATGAACCCTATTCAGTGCTTTTTAAGTTTAGTCCGAAGAACAAAGGCTGCTTTCATTTTATGTATATAGATGGGACAATCTATAACGAAAGTTATAAAAATTAAAATTTCAAACTTCAAAAATTTTTCAAAATTTTCACACAAAAATTTTACCCTTTCCCAAAAATTAAAAAAAGTAACAATTGCTCGATGCGATTTAGAAATCTAGGAGAAAACGGTTCCAAGTCGAATGATGCTTGCCTATCTATATTTAGGACGTTAGCATAAGGCGGTTCCAGAGATAGGCGATATAAGAAGTTAAGTTTGTATGTGAGGTGCCACGCCCCCAATCAGGACGTTAGCACAAGCGGTTCCAGATATGAGCGTAGGAAATGTTCAGTTTGTATGAGAGGTGCTACGCCCCCTTTTCCAAAAGCTCCCAGTTTTCGCCGTAAGTAGAGTATTTCCAATTTATTTATTTATTTATTTATTTATACTATGTGTAGATATCCATCATTCTCCTACTGTATAAGAACGTTAGGAATATCCCGGAGCAGAAGTGCGGCGGAGAGGAGCTAATAACCTGCATGCATCTATTATTGTTTAGAAAGGCGACCCCGCCATTCGCGCCAACTATCGCGTGATCAGCCTTCTAAGCATAGGTTACAAGGTCTTATCGACCGTATCGTGTGAAAGACTGAAGCCCACCGCCAATGAACTGATTGGGTCTTATCAGTGTGGCTTTAGACCTGGAAAATCCACCATAAACCAGGTATTCACAATACGCCAAATCTTGGCAAATACCCGCGAGAAAAAGATTGACACTCACCACCGATTTGTCGATTTCAAAGCCGCTTTCGATAGCACTTAAAGGAGTTGCCTATACGACGCGTTGTCTTAATTTGGCATCCCCTTGAAACTGACACGGCGGTGTAAAATGATGTTGAGCAATACCCCCAGCTCCGTCAGAATTGGAAACAACCTCTCTGAGCCGTTTTCTACCAAACGGGGTTTTATACAGGTCGAATTCCTTTTCATGTGATTTATTTAATCTGACGATGCAGAAGGTAATAAGAGCTGCAGAACTGAACTTCTCAGGAACAATTTTTTACAAACGCGTGCAATTGCTGACGTCACCGATTACATAGGCATCATCGGTTAGATAAGCAAGAAAAGCGACTGGGTATGGTGATAAACGAGGACAAGACGAAGTATCTCCTGTCATCAAGCAAATAGTCGGCGCATTCGCGCCTTGTCAACCACGTCACTGTTGATAGTTATAATTTCGAAAAAGTGTCGAATTTCGTTTACTTGGGAACCAGCCATAACACCGATAATAATATCGGCATCGAGATTGAACACAGAATCACCCTTGTCAAAAGTGCTACTTTGTCCTCTCTCGGCGTACGAAAACCACACTCTATACGTCACGCATCATATCCGTGTTGGTATATGGCGGAGAAGTATGGACAATAACGGATTGACGGGCCTTTACGCGTTGGCGACGACGAGTAATTCAGACAAGGAAATGATGAGCTTTACAACGACATAGACAGGTTGCCACAGAAGTTATTAAGAAAAAAATTTAAGAAGTGACCAAATTGTTTTGTAATATATTCTTAATGTGAATGGGGAAAGTAAAAAAATCTGAGCACTTTTTAGGTCCAGCAGAGTAGGAAAGAAATCGGAGTAAATCTACTCCGATCGGAGCAAAGTTCGGACGCTGCTTACGTACTGGGTTTCGGGCACACTGACGTTCCGGGCAAAGAGGAGGCCGACAGGCTTGCCAAAGAAGACACCCGGTCGGAAACTATGCTGTTAGAGGAGGTGCCTATTGTCCTCCAAGCGATTGAAGAGGAGCTGGATGATCCGAAAGGAGCAGAAGGCGTCGACCAAAACGCAAGGCTTCAAGGTGTTTAGGATTATGTGCGGAGCGTGTGACATAAAGCCCACAAAGTTTCTCTTATCCCTCAAGAGGGAGGATGCTAGGCTACTGATGGGTGTCCTAGCGGGACATTGCCTGTTGGCATCCCACGTCTTTAAACAGGCTCTGACTAATGATTAAATCTGCAGGAGAAGCAGAACGAAAGAGGAGAAGGTGGGGCATATACTATGTATAAATGTGTATTGAAATGGATGAGCTTCATACTGAAATAGCAATATTAAAGAAATATTATTTAAATAAAAGGTCATAGTGAGTTTTTTAATAGAATCACATATAAAAATGGCAACATTTTTAAAAATACTTAGAAAGAATTAACAAATTTGCCTAAAATTATTTCATTTCTGCTCTCTATTCCTTCAATTTCGGCATTCAGAGAAACAGTTTTTTCCATTACGAATGTGAAATGGCGAGATGAGAGAAACAAAGCGACTACATACCTCAATGCTACAAAAGGAGCTTTTGATTTATTTTAATTTAAATATTGATTACGATACTTTCAAAGGAATATATTTTTTATAGAGACAATACATAAGAAAGAAAAAATATGTATACTTTAAACGCGGTTTTACCTCTTGCTTTAAATAAAATACTATATATATTTGAAGTGTACTATATTTTTAAAGTTTTTTTTTTTGAAAAAGTACTATACATTTCTTAGAAAATTTTGGCACCCCTGGCAAGTGTCCTGCCCTCCTGCGGTTCAGTCCTCTGGGAGCAGGTAAAATAAGGTTTTCGAATTCGCCAAGAGGACTTATTCAATATTGCTCCTGGCGTTCAGAGATTAACTGTACAATAGGGTCGTCGCTTATCTGGTAATGCTATGGGTCTTACTTTTCCCTGCGAAACCACACGGTGGCTAGCCAGCTTACCTAACCTAACCTCACAATATTCGTGATTAAGTGATTACCATGCAATAAGCCGGCATTTATTAACCGGCATTAAATTATTAAGTATTCACAACTCTATGTATTTAAGGTAGTTTCATCGTTATAGTTCAGAACTTTTCTTACATGTGGTTGCTGTTGTGTTTTTCTCTCTGCGAGAGTTGTGAACTCAACAACAACAAACATTTTACTATGCTGTCGAAAAATACCATTTCATTACGCAAGTTTATTTATTTATGTATACTTAAAAACTTGCATTTTGATTTTAAATTAAGATTTAACAGCCGCATTTATTTTTCTTGAAGGTTGCGCAATAACAAAAAGTACGAACCGCTCATCCTGAATAGCTGCAAGAAATAAATAATAAATTTGCTCTTATTTATATGTGTATGCATGTGCGTTAAAAGTAAAAATATTCAACTTACAGCAATTAAAGTGGCCAAATTCATCAAAGTAAACCATGAAACCTCCAAGTGGAAGTTACGATGAGTTCGCAAAATCATCATACGAATAAGTTGTTTAAACTTTTCCGATTCTTCGTACCATTTAGACGTGTAAAATGAAAACGGAATTTGCTCGCTCTGTTTAATCGAGTAAACCATATTCGTAATTTTATTCATTCGTTTTCATAAATTAAATAATTCATTATTTTCTCACCACTGTAGTTAGCTGTTGGCCATTGTAACAATATATAACAATTTGGGTTCCACCGGCCGCAATGTACATTATCATTCGGATGAAGATTGTTATGCTTGATTCCTGGATGATTTTATGAAAGAAAAAAAAATGTCCGGTTGTTTATGTTTAATATGTTTTCAAGATTCTATATATATATTTACTCACTAAACCAAAACTCAATTCGAATAGAACGAAGCCATATATGATCAAGCTAAATACGAATTGGGATAGACTAATTTGCTTAAAAATTGTTTGAATTTGCTGCACGTAGCTGTGTTAATAAATAATATTATTATTTATACATACATATGTGGTATTCGTATATATTATTACATTGCTGTTCGCTGGTACGTGATAATGGTATATCGTAGATATTCAATACGCCTTTCGGGAGGTATCAGCGGTGATGTGGATCGTAACACTAGCAAGTTGAGAACCTTTATCAATCCGACAGCATGCTGGGATAATACTATGAAGACACCATCAAAACTTACGGCACCTTGGCGATTATTAAATACAAATTTTAAATAGTTAATATTTTGGCTGGTATTGAGACTGGTGAAGCGAATACATTTAACGAAGCGAATGGTTTGGCGAACACACATAAAATTTGCATTAGCATGTTCGCTTGTTCAATTTCTTTACATTAATTACACTGTGAGACAAATGGTAGGGGTCAGTGATCGGGAAGGGTTCAAACTACAGGGGAAAGTTATATCGGTAAAAAAGAAGTTATACGTGTCCCGGCGTTTCGCTGGGTCACGTCTAGGAATCGAGATGTATATATAACTATCATATAGGGGAAATTGTCACCTTTGGTGGTCTTTTTTTGACATAACTCGAGAACCACTACTCCGATTTTGCTCAAACAAATTAAAAAAAAATTAAAATTACAATTTTTTTAATCTGTTCATATAACGTTTTTCTATATAATCTGTGGTACTCGCCGTCGCCAACGCGTCTTTACGCAAAATCTTTCTCGCAAACAAACACTCCAAGAGCCGCCTAATCGGATGTTGTCATTGTCCATGCTTCTGCGCCATATACCAGCACGGGCATGATGAGTGACTTATAGAGCGTGGTTTTCGTACGTCGAGAGAGGACTTTACTCCTGAATTGCCTACTCAGTCCAAAGTAGCACTTGTTGGCAAGAGTGATTCTACGTTGGATTTCAATGCTGACATTATTATCGGTGTTAATGCTGGTTCCCAAGTAAACGAAATTCTCTACTTTCTACAGATGATGTCGATGTCATCGGCATAAGCCAGCAATTGCACGCTCTCGTAGTAAATTATTCCTGAGCGGTTCAGTTCTGCAGCTCTTATTATCTTCTCCAACATCAGATTAAAGAAGTCACATGAAAGGGAGTCGCCCTGTCTGAACGCGAACGGCTCGGAGAGGGCTTTCTCAATTCTTACGGAGCTGGTTGTATTGCTCAACGTCATTTTACACAGTCGTAAGAGTTTTGAGGGGATGCCAAATTCAGACATAGCGGCGTACAAGCAACTCCCTTTAGTGCTTTCAAAAGCGGCTTTGAAGTCAACAAATAGGCCATAAATTACAAAAACAAAGTGAAAGAGCTTCTCAAACAAATTAGAAACATTTTTTTTAGATTTAAGTTGTTGAAAAGTAATGCATATCAAAATCCCGGGATTGTGATAACGACATGCCGAAAATCGCGGGATCATAAAAAAGCTCAAAAAACGAACATCCCTAGTAAACGATTTAAAACGATTGAGTAAAACTATTGTTTATCTCTGGGTACGCCGGCCGCATGTAATCAGGTAAAAGTAAAAGTAAAAAAGGGATATTTGTATAATATTCGCATAATATATCTTATATCTTAAATATAATCTTATATACATATGTATGTATATCTTATGTTTAATCAAACTATACTCACACATTCCAGCAATATACACAGCACTGCCGCTCAAGAACATTTCCAAGTGATAGTAGGGGAATGTCATGCCCTTGTTTTCCCAGAACGAATATAAAGCAGGAAAGGCTAAAAAATTTGAAAATAAGAAATAACTATATATGTATTACTTTTGTATATTAGTTTACTCAAATTAGATTGGAAAATTGGTCATGTGCCTATTTTTTATTTGTTAAATATCGTGAGGGTAGACACTAGGGATGTTAAACTTCATTTTTAAGGCTCAGATATTTGTGGGATCACAGCGGGCAGCAAAACAATATAAGAAGCTTTTTTGTAGATGCTATTATCTATTCCATGTGCCTTGGAGCCTAGTGTTTTTCTGGCAGAAAAGGTTGAAAATAATCATGAGTATCCGATCACATTTATATGTGTCTGTGTGGGATGTCTCTTAACCCAGCCAGCAAAATCATCGTAAACAAGCTCGTAATTGGATATTTTCTCGAAGAAAAACCGGATTAAAAATCGTTTATGATAGCCGTTTACGACTCTTTTTCGAGCACTTTTTCTCTTTAAATTGTGCATCGCCTACGAACAGTCGTAAACGGATCGAAAAAGCATTCGTATGCGAATATTTTTACGTCCGTTTTTTAATTGTAAACGAGTCTCGTAAACAATTAATTTACGTTAGAAAAGCGTTTTTTACACTGCTTTATCTACTGTTTTTGAATGCTAAAAATAAAGGCAATTAATAAATTCAAATTATTGTAGCTATTTTATTGAATGGAATTATAATTAATAACTATTTATAGTGCCGGATCAAAGTATTGGCACAGAGAATTTTTCGCAATGTATGCAAAGTTTTTTACTTGAATTTCTTTTCGCACATTTTTTTTTTTTTAAATATAGTTAGTATGAAGACCTACTTTCAAATCAGATTTTTGAGAAAAATTCTAAATATCCAGTTTTATATCCTATTATATTTTAGTATAACATAGTGCAAGCTTGAAGTTGCCAGAAAACCGCGTTGATTTTTGGCAATTTTTTTACGCAGTTTCTTCCATGCAAATTATGTGCGACATTTTTTTCTTGTATGGAAGAAACTGCGTATAAAAAATTGCCAAAAAACAAAGAGGTTTTCTAGCTATAAAACTGCATACTTAGAATTTTTCTAAAAAATCTGATTTGAAAGTAGAACTTCATATTAGCTATATTTTTATAAAAAAACAATTAGAGAAGAAATCAGAATAAAAATCTTTGGATTCATGGCGAAAAATTCTCTGTGCCAATATTTTTTCCCGGCACTGTATATGTGAAGATATTTTCAGATAAATAAATATTAACAAAACTATCTATTAACAAATTAACAATTAAATAAGAGGGGTTTAATATATATTATAAAGTAGCTGAATTTATTTTTTATCTTTTTTGCCGATAGGCTGGCAATTTTTTTTTGCCGGTCGTGTGCATATTGGAAGTGCTTCTTTGAAACGGAAATAAAAACTTCTTCGTCGGAGTTAAATTTTTGACGACAAGCACCTAAGAAAATAAAGTGAAAGATTAAACTCCATTGGAAATCGGAAAATTTAATTAAGTAAAAAGTGGTAATAAATAATATTATTATCCGTACTTCTTATTGCCGCAGTCGTTGCCAAACCAATAGCGCTGCTTTTGGTACCAGTTCCCTTCCACGAGAAAAGTTCTGCTACCTCATCTGTAATAATTTTCCGCCAGCACGTTCTTAAATATTTATCTACATTTAAAATATTTATAGCTTCGAGTTCAGAAACCTATAAAGTGTTTAAAGAATGCAATAAAAATTATTTTATTATGATTAATTTATGTTTTTAGTTACCAATAATTACTGACAAATTACTGCAAGCCTCTTTATATTATATTTTTTTGTTTTATCGTTTACGAGCTTTTCTCTAACTTTTTTGGCGATACGAGAATTCCTCGTAAAACATAATGTTCGTAAAATGTACGTTTTCTTGCTGGCTGGGAACTTAAAAAGTGAATAATGGGTCATATATAAAGTCTTCGTGTATTTTTGTCCTATCTGTTGTTGATGTCCATTAGGCAACACGAATTGAATTGCATCATACTGAAAGGTGCTATGAGTGAACCCAGGAGTGATTTGCTCGATTCCGTTGCGTAAAGGTTAGTGTCAATGACGCAAGAGAGCAAGATACTCAAAGAAACTCGAGAGGATTATACTTACGGTGACCAGATTTCTGTGAACAAAAATCGGGACATCGAATCCAAATAAAATTTTTTTTTTATCAAAAAAGAAGACATCTTCTAATACAGTTTTATTTAAGACAAACAAAAGAAAGAAAAAAATTGAAAAAGTTTTGCCTATTAAATTTTCGTATAATGAAGTGTATATTTCGAAGTAGCTTGGACTTACCGTTGACTTTCGATAACTTTTTGTTCGCGCATTTTCTTGAATATAAAGTACTAGCAGACCCGGCGAACTTCGTCCCGCCCAAAATTTTTATATATTTTATTGAAACTTTTTAGTCCAACATTTTCATTAACAATTCACGTTTACGATTTTCATTGGCACATTTGTCTACTAAGATTAAGGTTTGGTGGTCATTTGCCGCTTTAAATAACCTAAGGAAAGTGTTATATCCGGAAGAAGTTCTTGAAATTCTCCAGTTGTGCGGCATTTCATAGCACGGTTATTCGCAAAGCGAAATAAATTTTTTCCTCTTCACTCTCTGGCGGCAACAATGACCCGGTTCAATAGTGAATGTCCTAGAAGCTTTACAGTATAGTAGGTGGCAATTTCAAAATGAGGCGAATCATTGTTCTACAGAAATGCAATAACATATATTTATTTCAGACGAAATACCTTAAAGGCTTAAACGCATAAAATATTGGAAAATCACTATCATTGGGCCATTCGTAACAAGGAGAGTTCGATATACTCAGTGGTGCAACAGGTCGATTTAATCTGACATTCACGGCACCTTTTCTCACTCACGGGCGATTTTTAGTAATAACTCAACTACAGCGCCACTTGGCAGCACGTTTTTGCAACAGCATTGCATACATATTTAAAACATTAGCCAAATCGGATCATAAATAAGATTTTTAGTAATAACTCAACTACAGCGCCAACTGTCGGATTAAATTGTGAAACTAAACCATCCAGAGACCCACTCAATACACAAAAAGTTTCGTTGAAATCCGTACAACCATTTAGGAGGGGATCACTCACAAACACACCTACAGAAAATAAAAAAATTCATTCAAAGATAGCTAAAGGTCGGTACGTTTGTAGGCCTCACACCCCTTTTCAAATAGCCCGAATTTTCTCCATGAGTATGGGCTTGATTTCAACTATATACATATCTCCATACGAAGTTCCAGTACTGTACCATGAACACTTCCAAAGATAGGCAGTATGAAAAATTCGGTTTGTATGGAAGATGCCACGCCCCCTTTTCCAATAGTTCCAATTTTTCTCCAAGAGTATGCGATTTATTTCGTTCATCTCCATACAAAACTCTAGAACTCTACCAAAAAATTTCCAGAGATAAGCAGTATGAAAAATTCGGTTTGTATGGGAGATGTCACACCCCTTTTTACAATAGCTAAAATTTTTCTCCAAGGGTATGCGATTGATTTCGTATATCTCCATTCCAAGTTCCAGAACTCTACCATGCACACTTTCAGAGATATGTAGCATGAGAAATTCGGTTTGTATGGGAAGTGCCACGCCCCCTTTACATATAGATTTTTTTAGCCTAAAACCATCCTTGGGACACGTGCGGCAGGTGGCAGTTTCAAAAAAATCGGTTCAGCTGCTCTCGAGCCTTGCGAAAACTAACAAACGGCTTTCTAAATATATATTAGTTATATTTTGACAGTATCCGTTGTTTCTGATTGGCGCAAAAAAATCTTGCCTAGTGACGAATTCGCCCCTTGATATTGTTGTTACTTAGAGCTATTTATATTCGAAATTGCATGAAAATTGGAAAATAGGAATCTATAAGCTTATCCAGGCAAAAAGCTACCTACGCACAGTGTATCATTTCCATATTCTAGAAAAGATTAATTCCATTATTATGTGTCGCCAAATTTGAAAACAACGTCAAGAATGTTTTTAAAAATGCCTGATAAATACGAAACAATAACAGCTAAACAATTTTAATCAAAGTGTATGGCGGGACGGGGTTTGATTTGGAAAATTACCGAGCACAATAATATTTAAACTTTTATATTTGAAACTGAATCTCAATGTTTATTTTTTCGGTGTTATGTGATTTATGCAACAATTACTAAAATACCATTTTGGTCTTATTTGCTTGGGTATGTTCTTTTTAATGAATATACATTTTTGGGATTTTAGTAAACTAGGACTGAGTATTCCATGTTAAAGTAAAACGATGTTAACTTAAATTTATTTTTAGCAATTTATTAATTTCATTAGACCCGCAAACTCGTTATCCGCCACTATTTGATAAAGTTTGTATCTCAGTTTATTTGCCACTCCTCTTAGACTTTAAACAACATAATTTTAGCTGCTGGAAAGTGCAGGTTTTGATGAAATTTTCTTTTTTCTGGCCTACTGGGAATTTCATTTTCTTCGAGTAATTCATTTGCATTTTATCTCGACCGAGACAAATTCTTATATTTTCGTTTTGAATAGAGAAAGCCTGATTCATTACCTTCCCAATGGTATCCCATTTTTGTAAATAGAGTAAGAAATATTGAACTTATAACGGAATTTTGTTGACCCAACTTGACTTTTTTATCGATATTTTCCACGCCCATAATTAAAAAAAAAATATTTATTTATTTTAAGTCGATTTCTGTCAGTTTATAATTTCTTGTTATAGGGAAATTCTAAATATCAATTTTGGGCATTTTAGCCTTTGTAGTTAGTTAAATATTTCAGTTTTTGCATTTTTAAAAATTTGCAGTTATATAATAGGGTGGCATGACAGTAACTATAAATTACCAATTTTTTGTAAAAAGCTTCGCCTATCTTATAACGTACCTTGGGCAAAATTTCATTAATCTATCTTCAATAGATTTCGAATTACAGAATTAAAAGCAGCTAGATGGGTCAAATCTTACACTGTGCTACGTACCGAATTTTAAGCAAATCGGACCATAGATACGATTACTTCGAACAGATCGGTCCCGGGTCCACTTCTCGGACAAAGTGGATCATATATGCTAATATATGCTAAAAAGCTACCTACGTACCGCAAATCGGACCATAAATACGATTTTTTCGAATAGATCAGTCCCTGGTCCACTTCTCGGAAAAAATGGACCATATATTCTAATATACGCTAAAAAACTACTTACGTACCGAATTTTAAGCAAATCGGACCATAAATGCGATTTTTTGGAATAGATCGGTCCCTGGTCCACTTCTCGGAAAAAATTGATCACATATGCTAATACATGCTAAAAAGCTACCTGCGCACCGAATTTTAAGCAAATCGGACCGTAAATTCGATTTTTTCGAATAGATCGGTCCCTGGACCACTTCCCGGAATAAATGGGTCATATATGCTAATATATGCTAAAAAGCTACTTACGTACTAAATTTTAAGCAATTCGGACTATAATAAGATTTTTTCGAATAGACCGGTCCCTGGTTCACCTACCCTAAAAAAAGTAAAATTTTCTTAGCCTAAAACTTGGTGGTTACCGAAGGCTATTTGTATACAAAATTTCATGAAAATCGGACCAGCCGTTCGCGAGATTACCTGTTACAAAAAAAGGGACTTCTCTTTATATAATTAGTATAGAGTATAGATATAGATTAGTATAGATATAGATATAGATTTTACGTTGGCAGTGGTTTGATATTAATCGCTTGAAGATGGGTCGCAAAAAAATGTTTTCCTGTGGGAATATTAGTTGCGTTCCAGGGGCCACGATATTCACGATTTACAGTTTTTTTTCGCAGGAAAGCGTTAGGTGCCAAAATAAACTGTAAGTCCAACCACTTTTATGAGAAGGCAAGTGAGCTTGTTTTTTGTCAAGCATAACGCGAGACGGTTGATAGTCTCCATGGCGCTTTACATTTAAAAATTAAATATAATTATGGAAAAGTTTATGTGAATAAATTAAGTGAAGAAAAAATAACTAAAATATTACGAATAGTTGAAAAAATACATATCATTGAAGGTTGATATAGCGTGCGGCCTTGATCGGGCTTTGTTATGTCCAATTAATTAAAAATAATGAACTAAAAATTTACACTTTGAGAATTGTAGAAATAAAAAGAAAACACGCGGCTGATAATATCAAATGAGAAACAGAAAAAGTTTTGGACAGATTCACTATTGATTTAAAACAAATTTACACAATAACGACCGACAATGGACGAAATTTAGTAAAAATGACAGATCTATTATCTGAATACACTGAGGGAAATAATGCATAGTAAAAATGAATACTTTATATTTGATTATCGTTTAAAAATGTTCGTAATTAAAAATAATATTTTCCTTTTTTGACTGTTCACATCTGAGTATGTATGTATATGTAAAAACTGTGACAGACCGTTTTGCCAGATTTTTTTTGTAGCGCATTCCCATATCGAGCTTCAGTTATCCCCAAAAAATCCTCATTAGTATCCTAAATCCCCTTAAGTATAAAATAAAAAAATATGTATTGTTATTTCTGTTAGTTCATTTTAATTAGAGTTTTGAATACTTTTTGGTTACAAATTTTCACAGATTTATATGTGTTCATATTTATGTGATCATTTAGTGATTTATTTTTTATGGTTTTTGGAGACTAAGGTTCCTCTTCCCATTGCTGTCTGTAAATTCCTCAAATTAGTATGTTTTTTGTGCGCTTGCCACTTTGTAAATTTCTTTTTACACTAAATAAAGAACCGACAATGTTGGCGCAAGGAAATCAGAAATAAATGTAGTTCATTCGGTGAATGCGAATCACAGCGTTCCTTTTACAATTTGGTGTAATGAAGTGAGAGAAAATTGTTTGTTCAGCGAAAGCCAATCAAAGCAGACATTTGCGCCGAATAATGCTTTTACAAAGAAAATTTTTGTTTGAGAAATTTTTAAGGGCAGGCAATAAAACATATGTATTTTAATTTCAATATGAAAATTTTAGATCAAATAAAAATCCCCATAAAATCCCCACATCCCCAAACCCGCACATCTGGCACCACTGGTGACAGACGATAAAGCTTATGCATACGGTGACCATCCGTCCTTTATTTTAAAGGACAGTCCTTTATTTTAACCCCCTGTCCTCTATAATTTTTTCAAAATAAAGGACGCCTTTTGTCCTTTATTTTTTAAACTGTCCTTTAAATCGGCTCTGCATTTTCCAGAGGTAAATTTTTAAACGCAGAATATGAGAAATAAAAATGTTCCTTATAAATCATAATGAAAACTTTCGCCAGTTTTTTTCGCACCCCACTTAAGAGAGAACCCCTTTTTCCCCTTTTTTAATCGGTAATCTTTGTACAATCTATAAAGCACTGGGAAAGTTGTGCCCAGGATCGTGTTGAACGCTGAGTTTCCACTGAAAGAGAACAATAAACCCCCTGGTGCGCAGTGGTTCAAAACTGGCATTAATTTACTTCATTTTTCACTTAGTTTTATTTTTATTTTTTCAAGAGACCAGTTGAGCCTGATTACTGAATTTAAATTTGATTATATTAAATTTTTTAGTGCAAAATGCAGAAAATGTAGCAATTTTGCATAAAATTTATTCTCCTGTTCCATTTAATAAATGTTATATAACAAAAACTAGTTCAAAACAATTGTATGGTTCTCCCGAAACAAAACAATACACAAAATTGGCTGAAAAATGAAGGCTCCGGTGGATTATGAACATCGAATTCCAATTTTGAACCACTTCGTGCTGGCTTCGTGCAGTATGAATTATGGTAAACGCATTTTAGTAGCAAAGGATGGCGAAGTCTTTGAAAAGGATTTGGCTTCATTTTTCGCTACAGCAGGGGAACTTATACAATTAAATAATATAATTAACTGGTAAATATTTGATTTAAATTGCGATATGGGCAAGATAATTTTATCATACAAGTTATATGTACGTATTCCCAAATCATTTTGGAAAAGATGTCTTTTATTCTACGTTGGTTAATATGGTCACCGTAATTATAATGCACTTGATCAAAAGATCCTTACGAATTCGCCGCGATTTGTTACGATTCGCACCGTGCATTATAACCAAGGTATAACCTTGTATTATTGAATCATGATTCATGAAAGCAGTTCACCATTTATCCTCGGTCAACGCGCACGCGCCCTCTTCAAATAAGTAATTGGAAAATCCTTTTATTTCGAATTATACTATATGAGAGGAAGGCGTGCTTATAGTCCGATTTCACCCGTTTTCAGTATCAACCTACCTTGGATAAAGGGCAACCTTTATACCAAATTTTTTTGAGATATCTCAATTTATGTTTGAGTTTACGTGTACACGGACAGAACGACGGATGGACAGACATGGCTAAATCGGTTCTATACTATTATTCTGAGAAGCGGTTCTTATTCCTGCAAATCCATTAGCTCCAGCATATCACGCCATATATGTATTGTTTAAAAAGCGCGATGAGTCTATTAGCGCATAATTGAGCCGTTTATTTTGAAAGTGACATAAGTCACTTCATTCCTCTTGTGCTTAAATAACCGGCTATTTGTAATCGAATGCATCTGTAAATGGCTTTATCGTCATAAACTAACGACAAAACCTCCACCCCTTCGTTGATGAAGTTGAACGATAAACCGGCACGTTTAAATACAAGTAGCCGGTAATTTAAGCACTAGATTTGTGAAGTTACTTATGCCACATTCAAAATAAAAGCCCATTTATCAAATTTAGGACTGATGCTACAAAATTATTTTTTTTTTATACCTAAATCTCTAAATAAAACCATGTCATTCTAAAGTGGCATAGCCAACTGTCCAAAAATGGAAAGAATTTCGAATTAAAAATCGGATGTCTCGTCCCTTTTTCCTTATCCCGTTTCTGGACGTTTTCCCAAAAAAGTACAGAAATTTATGACCATATTCTCATGCGTTTTCGTTGTGCACTTCACATATGTTTTTTTAGATATAAAAAAATATATAAAAATTTTACCCTGTATCTACTTCGGAGACACGAAAAAGTTTTTATAACGTTTTTTTTTTTTGCCTCAGACCCAAATCAAACCTGGGATCTCGAGGAAACTATCAAATAACAGCAAACGCCTATTCACACTCATCTAGAGTTATGTAAACACATGTGCAAATGTTCAGTTTGAATAGAAATCTTTTGAGACGTTTTGCGGAGACTTAAAATCATAGCAAATGGAAATGGGCTTTTTCCTGATAAGAAAAATGTGTAGAAAACTCACCGTCCGCCAAACGTAGTCTCCAAAGTTCTAAATAAGTACACTCACAAGGGAAATAGAAAACTTAAACAAAATTGCATTTTATAAATCTCAATAAAACTAATTCAAAGCTTAAGTATAAGTCCCTCAGAATGGCGAGAAAGTCAGTATCAACGATAAACTTATGAATAACATGATGGATAACGTTTTGTACTTACGCAGAATATGTTTGTAGTTGGGTGTTTGCTTTAGCTGATTGTAGAGATTTACAAATAACGCAGCAAAAAAGTAGTTGCACACAATCGCCAAACAACAAGAGAAATAAAACAATATTTGCCGACGAGTGGTGCGCCAAATGTCAGTCATTATATTATCGATCTCTTGCTTCAATTGGTATTTTACGGGGAAATCTATAAAAAAATTAAAAAAATACAACAATAGAACTAATGAGAACATCTCTCAGATATTGCTGATGTCAAACCGTGTTGAAATATTTCTATTTTATGTATTAGGTCGTGGGTTAAAGCCTGTTCCAGTAGACGGTAAAATGTTCTTTGCCTTAACAGATAGTACACCATTTTGAAGATCGAAATTAGAGTCTGCAAAGCAGTGCAAACAGTCTGGGAAGATAATTTTAATTATTAAGTAAGTACCGAACAAATTTTTATGTAAAACAAGCAAACCTCAGCTAAGAGAGGAATGCTATCGAAATTTCTCTGGAGGTAGCACCAATGGGCGTACAAGGACAGCGTGCTACTCACTACCAAAATCACATTAACGCTTCAATGCACAAATAAGTTATTATTTAAGTTTATTAATAAAAAAAAAAACATATAGTCTTGTTCTATTCATTGCACTTACATTCTCAACGATTCTTTGAATTTACTGGGTGCGGTCAAATTAACGCCTAATCCATAAGAAACTCCAAATAGCACTTTTATTGAATTAAAATTACGTTCACGAACTTCGGCCAATTTGTCTAAAATCATTATTTTGTCTTAAATATAGCAACTGTTGTTTGGTTTGTGTAGCTGAATAACTTAAGTTAAAATTAATTGCTGCACACTTCATCTTAAATACTAGTTGTTCAAAGTAATGAAGTGATGTCCGAGTATGCGCTGCGTAAGCTTCTGCGTACAATATTAATTGCTTAATTGATACCTTGGAATATAGGGGGACTTGCCATGATTTAAAATGTAATTAATATGCACACCCTCGAGTGATTTGGCTAAGCGCGGTTCGTATGCGGTCATTGGTCCTTTGTGAGTTCGTGAGTTCGTGCTCACCATCGCCTATCTGTCAACGCCCATGTTAAATGTTTAATTTCTCAAACGTCAGCAGCAATGTCATTGTTCTCGCTGGTGGTCATACTACTTTGGAGCAGATTGACATTTAAGTAAGGGCTTCGGAGCGGAGCAAAGCAAAGGAGCAAGGAGCAAAGGATTTTAGCTGGAGCGGAGCGGAGCAAAGAGCTAAAAAAATGAATTTTCCCCTTAGCTTATTAAAGAAAAATATTCAGTTAATAAATTTACTTACATTTTTTTTTATTTTTGCCACTGAAAACAACTCTGTTAAATAAATTTCCATTCTATTTATTTCACTTGGCAATATTGTTCATAATATGTTCGGGCATGTTTTTTGTCAGGCATGTTAGCAGCACGCTGATGAAATGCTTAAACGTTTTTTCAAAAACGATAAAGGCTTCTCAAATGAAAAAGCTGAAAAAAGCAACAACATGGAAAATCGAAATTTCAAATTGTACCAAATTTGACAATAGAAATGTACCTTTTTGCTGCCAGATGAACTTAAAAAGTAGCTGACGATTTTGTTAATTTTTTTCAGACAGTTGGTAAGAATTTAATAAATTTTTACATTATTTTCATTAACAAGATTAATATATCAGTACAGTTGAATTAATATTCATAACAATTCAATAAAGGTATATGTATGTACATTGGGGTGCTCCACAAAAAAGAGAGTCGGAATTTTAATGCTCACACCCTGTAGGATTATACTATACCGAAAAATTAGTTTTTATTTTGAAATAAAAAAATCCTAGAGGTCGCTAATAGCACTCAAAGTTTTCCATCAGAAAATGCAAGGGAGGACCCATAAAAAATTTATTTAGTATTTAAAAATGGTAAAATAAACAATTGTGTATTGTTATTGGCATAATCCTAAACAGTAGCAACGTTTTCCGATCAAAAAATATTGATATTGAATAATTCTCTACCACTTCTACGAAAACTTGTTTCTTTCTCCATATAAAATGCATGGAAAACTTTGAGCGCTTTGAGCGACCTTAAAATATTTTTTGATAAAAAAAAAACGGTTTATAATATTTTCAGGATCATTTCGGAATTCGCGTGCTTTGTTTGCTTACTTGTACGATCCAGAAAATAAAGGTCGCACCATTCGCGGACCGCTAACCCTTTCTTCGTCGATTTGACAGCATCCACCCATTCGCTGACGTCACACAATACTTTTGTTTACATTTTCTGGTTCGTGACATTTTACGTTATTTCAACTTTACAAATTTGCAAATTCGAAAAATTTTGAGCGTTGTTTTGTTTTTTGTGAAAACTTTAAAAAAGTTATAAATTAAAGAAAAAAAATTCGGTGTGCAATGGTTAATTGTACTAGTGTTAGTGCCAAAGGATCTGGGTGCAGTTTTTTTACTTTTCCGGCCAACATTGAGTTGGTGAAAAGTGGATCCAGTTCTGCCGGAGACCAACGGATTTCAACGCCCGAACCAGCGTCATTTGTGTAAAACACTTCACCACTGATGACTTCGAGAACGAGCTTCAATATAAAATGGGTAAGTTATACTATTTAATTCGCCAATAAACGCTTATTGGATTTCGTGAGCATGGTGTGACTCGGGAGTAAATTTCACGAAAGGTAGCCGCCCTCATCGTAAATGTGAAAACCCCCGGAAGCTTATATTTTTCACTTTTCATTAATACTGCATTTTATTAAAAGAAATGTTTTAAATTGTGTTAGGCTACGCTACAAAGCGTAAACTAAAGCGGGGCGTTGTGCCGACAATTTTCAAGCCTGCTGCGGTAATACCAGATCCTGGCAAGGAAGCGCAGCAGCAAGTGTACAAAACCATTGTGAGCGATCTACTGGAGCAAACATTAGCTTCTCTGTGTTTGTATGCATAAAGGGCCCTTTTCAGGGCCGCAAAGAATTTACAAAGGGATCAAATGCTTTATATAAGCTTATACACTTTCAGCGATTTGCATTGCATTTAATAAGTACACATTCTTTACTTTTAAACAACCAATTTACCATTTAAAATTAAATAATTCCGTAAATCCGCGATTTATTATGCTGTTCGATTCTTCTTCTTTTTCTTATTGAATTCGTCTTTGCTCTCTCATTCTGGTATATCTTGATGTCATGGCCAGTTGCTCTCAGCTCGATTGGCGCAATCTTGTATTCTATCATTCTTGGCTTACTTGTACAAAAGACAATAGCTGCCATTTTTACCAGTGTTGTCAACGAAACTGCCCGGATCCGAGTTAATTCCCAAAAATTTCGTGCATTTGTTCGGTTGCTTATGCGCATTTTAAAGAAGAAAATGGATGAGTCAAAGCCACGCTCCAGAAAATAAAGGTCGCGCCATTCGCGGACCGCTAACCCTCTCTTCGTCGATTTGACAGCATCCACTCAATCGCTGACGTCATAAAATACTTTTGTTTACACTCACTGTTGCCAACTTGATGCTTTTCGCACCAAATTTAGTGGGTATTCAAAACGCAAATATTTTTGAGTTTGGTGCTTAGTGCGTTTTTGGTGCTTTTGTTTTTAGTTTGAAGACACCAAATTAGAAAATCTTAAAAAAATGGAAGCAAAATTTATAGCAATCGTAATTGTGGGAAGCAATTTTACAAAAATTTAAACAAATTCATGGCACAGGGACAAACTTAAGCGACAACGAAATATGCGCAGCACCTTCAATCATGCCAGAAGAAATCGACCGTTGTGCAAGAAACATTGATTTTTATTAATTTGAATCGGCATCCTTACAATAAAATTATGTATTCATATAAAGTCCATAAAATACACCAATAAAAATTTGGTGCTTTTTCAACACTGCCTTTTGTTCGATGCTTCTTCTTTTTCTTATCGAGTTCGTCTTGCTCTCTCATTCTGGTATATTTTGACGTCACGGCCAGTTGCTCTCAGCTCGATTGGCGCAATCTTGAATAAGAACTTATTTCGGTGACTGCATTACCGACAACAGGGTGGATGTCTATGCCAGTTTTGCAGTTTCTTTGTGTTCTATGCTAACTAAGCAAATAAAGCGTACGTATCCTTCACTCGCAGTAGCCGAGTGGTGAGAGCTGCTTGTAGTACACAAGCCTTTAGATCCCAGGTTCGATCCTCGGTTGCAGCGATTGCCAAAAAAATTTTGTTTTTATTATATCTTTTATTTTTCTAAATTTTATTTGATTTATATATTTAACTGTTTTTTATTTTATTTTCGTTTGTTTTATTTTATTTCACATTTTTTATTATATTATTAGTTAACTTAAATTTTTGGAGTTTAATTTTACTAAAAAAGTCAAAAACAACTAAGTTACAACAACTTAAAAAAATATAAAAGTTATAATTGAATCAATAAAAAAAAAATTAAATGAATATTCTACTGGCCGTGGGACTGGACGAACTCACGGCTCTTTAATCAGCATTACTGCCAACTATCAAGGCACAATTTTGATCAGTTCAATTGCGGCGTTAATCCGGATCAACATTGCAGTCTGTCTATGCTTTTAGAAACAGCTTTTTGTTAAGATGAGAGAACAGGGCTATCCATATGAAGAGAAAAAATTTACCCGCCAATATATAGCAATATGAGTACTTTAATTAGTTCACCCTGTGCCCGCTGCTGGATTGCGGATTTAGCAAGCCGGGAAGTCGCCTGCTCGAATCCCACTGCAAGGGAACATTGAACATTTTTTTACATCTTTTTTTAGTCTTTTAAATATTATTTAAATTTTTGTTATTTAATTATAGTTATTGTGGCCTTTTTAATTAAAGTTAAAGTCCAATACATTTGATTAATAACGAAATAATTATATTAAATACCATAAACAAAATAAGATAATAAAATAAAATTTAATAAAATAAAATATAATAATGTTTATGTTAAAAAAAAAATAAAATATAAAAAAATTTTTGGAATCGCCCGGAGTGGGGACCGAACCTGGGTGCTATTGCGTTTATACTACTTCAACAACAAAACAAAACTTAGAACCTCATTTTACCATTTTAAAATCGCGTTCTCCTCATTTTAAAGTTAAAATTCTGTTTTGGCCATAAAATGGTGATTCATGCAAAGCTAAGTATGCATAACTATTACTGTGGGGAATTTCATCTCATGATTAGAAGACGGTCTTTTTGAGGATAACATATATATAGTTCTGTTATTTATGAACAAAAGGTTAAGATTAAGTACAGTATCAATGCTTAATTAACACTTGTTTAATTAACGCTTGTTTCTATAAACTGGAAAATCACATCGTATCTTTTATTAAAAAACGCGAATTTTGTGAATTTATCAAGGAACACTCTAAATTTCCGAATATATTTAAGTCTTTTTTTAATTTTATTTATTTGAAAAATCGTATACGCTATTTAAAAAAAGGATTGCAGTCTAACCATATTGACTGGGCTGGTAGTGGCATTTCACTCCGGTACGCTATCCCACTACTGCCTACCACGGGAACTCTTGGCTGCTGGTTTTCACCCCTGGCCCGGTTCATCCCTCCTTAGCCAACCTGAATGTCGAGGACTCCTCCTTGACACCCATATTGATGGAAAGCTTAGTGCGGACGTTCCGTCAACATGAACTGGCCCACCACTCAGGACTCCCGGCCTCAGGCCATTCCACAATCCGACCTCACAGAAGCGTGATTACAGAAGATGCCAACCTTCCAGTCGAATGTAGGCAGCCGAATTTGTCTACTTGTGCGTACGC